TGCTAGCTGTATGACCTTGGGCAAGTCACTTAACCTCTCTGCCTCTCAGTTTCTTCATCTGTTAAGTGAGAATAACAATAGCATTTTCTTCCAGGTTTGCTGCAAGGAGTAAGTGAGTTAATAAACGTGAAGCACTTAGAACTGTGCCAGGAACAAAGAAAATGCTGATAAATGTTTGCTGTTATTATGGCTACCTATCTCATTGAAACTTTACAACCCACTCTGGGAAGAAGTCTGACTTTTTCCACTTCTAGACAGAGAGTAATAATACCCACAGCATAGAATGGTTATAATTATAAAAAGTAACATAGGTAAAAAAGAATAGTTAATATTTATTGAATATTACAATGAATCAGCTATTACGCTGTATGAGTCAGAAATGTGCATGGTGGCAAGAAGCAAAAATCAAAACTAACGGTGGCACAAATATACAGGGCTTTATTCATCTTACATAAGAAGTCAGGAGGAGTCCAGGCGTTTTCTGTCTTTCTGCTTTATCATTCTTATCAAGATAATCTTTGTTCTCAAGATTTCAAGATGGCTGCTGTGCCTCTGTGCATCATATCTGTGTTCCAGGCAGAACAAAGCGGGAAGTGTAAAAGACTGAAGAATGCCAGTTGAGATGGTGTCTTTAAAAAAAGTTTTCTCGGGACAGGCCCAGTGGCATAGCAGTTAAGTTCGTGTGCCCTTTCAGTGGCCTGGGGTTTGCTGGTTTGGATCCCAGGTGCAGACCTATGCGCTGCTTATCAAGCCATGCTGCGGCAGGCATCCTACACATAAAGTAGAGGAAGATGGGCACAGATGTTAGCTTCGGGCCAATCTTCCTCAGCAAAAAGAGGAGGATTGGCACAGATGTTAGCTCAGGGCTAATCTTCCTCAGCAAAATTAATAAATTAATTAATAAAAATAAAGTCAAATAAATTTTGTGGTAAGTAACACCAAGCAACTTCCACTTGCATACATTGGCTAGAACTCTGTCACCTAGGTTGTATGGGCAGCTCTACGGGCTAGGGAGCCTAGGAAATCAAGCCAGCCCTCATGGGAAGGGAGGCTATAAACAATTTGGGGGTAGCCAATTCACAATATCTGCCACATATACATTTTCCTATTTAACCTCCACCAAAGCCTCGAGAGACTGGAAACATTCTTATTTCTGTTTTACAGATGAGTAAACTGAGGTTGGGAAAAGTGAGGGACAAGCCCAAGAATACATAGTTCACATGTGGCAGAGTTAGGATTCGAAGCCAGGTCTGTCTGAGTGAGCGGGTCTTGGCTCTTCACCACTACATGATGCTGCAAGAAGTCTACATCCTATAATGCTTGGCACACAGTAGGTGCTTAATAGGTGTTACTTCCCTTCCACTCATGGCCCTCTATGAGGCCCCACTAACTTGAGGCATTTGAGGCCAGGCCTCTGCATCCCTTTCCCTGCAGCCAGAAGAGTGAGAGGGCTGGTGTCCATGGAAAGAAAGATGGCCACTACACCCAAGGCTGCCCTGCTATTCAGGCTCTATGACCTGGATGGGGTGGAAGGAACTGCTGTGTGTGTGTAGGGAAGAGGTGGGATGGGTGGACATCCTTCTCTGACGCCAGCGTAAACTCTGGCAGGACATTTTGAAAGAATGTGGCCAAAAGATTTTAAAACAGCAGGCTGAAGGAGAAATGGATGTATTTTATTGTCCTACACAGTATTTTTTTAAAATTCAAATGAATTCATAACATTTTAATGTTGGGAAACTTCACACCATAACCTATATTTCCTGCCTAAGACAAAAAAAAAAAAGCTGTTCACAGTGCGCCCAGATTTCACACGGTAACACTGCTAGACCTGGGGAGCCACCACCCATCTTAGATGGGCATGTGCTTACCTGCCACCACAGCCCCCACCCAGACTGCTTCCCTTGTCTGTTATCTGCCTGGTTCCTGTGAGCTTCTGAGTTTGTTTCCCCCACACTGAACCACTGGAAAGACAGGCTCAGAGACGGAAGTGGTTTGATTTGTCTAAACTTATACAGCCAACAATGCCCAACTTCAAACTGGGCTACTGTGACTCTCAGTCCAGTGCTCCTTCTACATGACACCTCCGTCTGCTACTGTTTTTAAATTTATTCATCTGGACAAGAGCTATTGCAGTGGGGAATGCAGTAGAAGGAGCTGATTCAGAAGTGTAGGAGTGTGGCAGCTATGCCTCTGCTTGACTGGGGCTGTTGCTTCCCTTCTTTGGGCCTCAGCTTCCCCATCTGTAAAATGGGGGTAATAACAGTTCCACTCTCTCAAGTGTGGGAAGGCTTTGAGACCTCTTTGGAGCTAGGACAGGTTATTGAACATGACTGCTATTATGATTGGAAAAAAGCACCACAAAACTTGATGGTTTAAAACAACCATTTTATTTGTTCATGATTGTGCAATCTGGGCTGGGCTTAAGCGGGCAGTTTTTCTCCTGACTTTGCTGGTGATCATTCTTGTGGCTGCATTCAGCTGGCAGGTTGGCTGATGGCTGGGATTCTGATTCTCTCCATGTGGTCTCTTTAGCCACACTTCTTACATAGTTGTTCAGGGTTCCCAAGAACAAGCACTCCAAGAGGACCAGCCAGTGTGCAAGCATTTAAGCCTCTGCTTGCATCATGCTTGCTGATATCCCATTGGCTAAAGTTTGTCACATGGACAAGTCCAGCGTCAATGTAGGAGGAGACTGCATAAAAGTGTGGCTATCTGAGAAGCATGGTTCACTGGGGGCTATCAAAATAATGGTCTACCACAATTATTTTCATGGTGTCTGACCGATGGCTAGAGTAAGGAGAGTGCATCTTCACCTGCAGGATGAAGTTTGATAGTCCCTGAGTCTCCCTACTCAGAATTCTCTTTCCTGATGAACCTTTGCTTTGCAGCTTTGGTCTGGTAAGACCAAGATTTCAGAAACCAGATTAGGTTTTGACCCCTGGTACCAATCCAAATGATTGAAATGGCTGCCCATGTGTGGAGAAGGATTCCATAGTGGGCAGGGGGACAGAATGTCGTGATTGGCTAGGCCTGGGTCATGTGCCATCACCAGAGCCAGGGGGAACGGGGTGAGCCCATTCTCAACGAATAATAGTAATATTAATAATAGATGACATTTAATGTGTTTACTATGCACCAAGCACTCTTCTAAACATGTTATGAATTAACTGACAAGTCCAGCAACAACTCTGTGAGGTAGATATTATTCTCTGTATTTCTTACATGAGGCACAGAGAGGTTAAGGAACTTGCCCAGGTTCACACAGCTAGTAAAAGGCAGAGCCAGGATTCACATCCAGGCAGTCTGACTTTTGCGGCCACAGTCTTTTTTTTTTTTTTTTTTAGATTGGCACCTGAGCTACCAAATGTTGCCAATTTTTTTTTCTGCTTTATCTCCCCAAACCCCCCCACCCCGGACATAGTTGTATATCTTAGTTGTGGGTCCTTCTAGTTGTGGCATGTGGGACGCTGCCTCAACGTGACCTGATGAGCAGTGCCATGTCCGCACCCAGGATCCGAACCCTGGGCCGCCGCAGCGGAGCGCGCGAACTTAACCACTTGGCCACGGGGCCGGCCCCTTGTGGCCACAGTCTTTCTGGTGGGGACCAAGAATGGGAGTGGAGGTTCACAGGAAGGTCAGATAGTGATACCACAAAGAGGGGAAGATGATACTGTGCAGACAAAACAGTATCTATGACCTACAACCATTCATTCATACTGACAAAAACATTATGTACCATTTAGAGTACAATTTAAAGAACACTTTTATATTCTTTATGTAGACACCTGAGTAATCGGGTATCTTTCTCTCTACTCCAGCTGGGATTCTTTCAGTCCCAGGGTCCCCCAGTTGGATCCAAAGCTAAGTTCTTGGGCAACTTGGTCAAGAATTCCTGAGGTTCAACAGCAAATAAGAACATCTGACCAAGAACTCTTAAAAGAATATGGAGAAGTGGATTTGGAGAAGCAGATGGAGAACATGAAGGGGAATGTGGTGGATGACTTCTACAGAAATGCACCTGGGAGGCCAGCATAGAAGCAAGGTTGATTGAAAAGTCTCAGGAAGTGTGTGTGACACTTCCGAATATTGGAAGTGGGGAGGGGGTGGAAGACTTTGTGCATCTGTCATTTCCTGGGCACTCAATCCTTTCTGAATAAGATGCACTAGAGACGGTTTTTCTCATTAGAACAAATGCCACAGATGCAAAGCCTTCCTTGTTTATATTTCTCCTAATGTGCTTCTGCTTGAGCAAGTGAGCCCTTAATGTCAATTTCAGTTAAAGCCGTTCCCTCTGATATTGGTGTTGCTGCTCAAGGATGCAATGGGGAGGAGAGGGAAGATCATTGGGAAGGGGCAGGGAGGTGCCCCCGTTTGCTAGGAGGCTGGAAGGGCCTGGTGAGGGGGGCATTGGGAGGGAAGGTATGGAATGATTTGCTCCCTACTTAATGAAGACCATACTTCAAAGTGCCAGACTGTTTATTGTTTGATAAAAAACAAATTTGGAGACCTAGGAATAAGGCAGAGAGGAGAGACACGGCTCTGAGGGCTCAGCCAGTGAGGAATGAGAGACACACAACCTTGCATTGACCTATGGAGAGCTTCCCTAGTAACCTTGAGCTGCCAGTAGTAGGGGTGGGGACTGTATGCTCCGAGCCTGCTCTCTGCTGTCATGGGAGTACCCTGATTCTGCCACACGCACTTCCTTCCCTCCCAGCTAGGATGGCTCCAAGCCAGCGGTCTCACACCAGCAGTGTGACCTGAGCTCAGCATGGCAGAGGGATGGAGAAGAGTCTGGGGTAGGTGAAGCAGAGCAAAGTTCAGGGAGAGGAAGAGACAGTCGCAGCCTGCCAACTCTTCCTCCTTTTCTTCCTTCCTTCCTAACAAAGGGAATTCCTTTGTTCCTTTTCAAAGGGAATTTGTGTAGGAAAAAGAAGATACAGATTATGTTCTCCAAGAAATGAGCCTTAGGAACAATTCTCTTCCCTTTGAGAAGCCAGAGCTTTTGTTTTTCATCCTCTTTATTATGAATAACAATGATTAGAAGAGCTTACTATTGCTTGAAGACCATCTATGTGTCAGGGGACACCACACACGTTATTCCTAGTCTTCCCAACAATTCTCAAGGTAAACGTAATTTACGCACATTTTACAGAGGACAAAATTGGGGCTTAGAGAGTTTGAGGAGCTTGTCCAGTAAGAGGCAGAGCTGGGGTTGGAACCAAGGCCTGTTCACTCTGTTTCTGGCTCTGATGTCTTCAATTACTGAACACTTGCGAGGTCCGAGCTCTTGGCTTAAACTTGCCAATGGGTGCATCTGAAATGAGAAATGCCTTCTATTCAAGTCTCAGATATCCATATCGGCAAGGATTAAACAGAGTTTAACCTGCCCTGAACTAGACGTCAAGATGAGAGGGCCCCAGGTCTGGTTCTGCAACTCTCCTGACGGGCAGCTTTCAGCATACACCATATGTAAGTTCCGCTCTCTAGGCCTTATTCTCTATCTGTAAAACAGGCAAGTTGGACTAAATATCTCTAAGGGTTAATTCAGTCCAACCCAATCTGACAGCATTTATGGGGCCTCTTGTCTGACTGTGCTGGAAGGATACAAAGAAGGACAAGACAGGTCTCCATCCTCTAGGTGAGCTGGATGTGTACTCTAATAGTTATAAGTAAAGGGCAATAAAACTTGGAGAGTGGGGGAGCATTTCATTTAGACTTAGCTGGCGGCATGTGTGCGTGGCAGCGGAGATGACATAGGCTTCACGGAGGAGAGAAACGCTCCTTCTCCAACCACATGATTCCAATGGGGGCTGCTGTCTCATCTGTGCCACCTCCCTATCCACAATGATTGTTTAAGAGTGGGCACCTGGCTCAAGCTGGGCTAGTCACAGTACCTGGCCCCTCAGCCATGGATAATTGGTCTAGAGATGAACACTTACTCATGTTGGACCAATCAAAGTCCCTCCCTAAAATTCTGTCCTTAAGACCAGAAGCAGAAAGCCCCAGTCTCTCTGGTGGAGCACCTGAGTTGTGAGTACTGACAGCTAATGCAGCCAAGTGTCCAGGATTGAGGAGAAAAGCTCACAGGCAGAGGGAAAGAGAGACAAGGACTGGGGAGAAAGAGTCCTAGCAACATCCAGTTCCCTGATCCCATATCTTCAATTCTCTGTGCCTGGTTCTCCAGCCTTCCCAGTAGTTCTGGGAGCTCCTCCATACCCTTCTGATAAATTCCTTTTCTGCTCCCGTTAGCCTGAGTTCATTATTTTTTCCTCCTAATTTGCAGCTGAGAACCCCAGCTATATCCTGGGGCTCTGGGCAACGCTGGGGGGCTACTCCTCACCCGGGTCAGGGAGGGCCAAGAGAGGGTTTATTCTCAACCAGGTGGACAGGAGGAGGGAGTGGCACTCCCACTGTGAAAGTGCATTAGCCTGGGAGGCAGGAATCCCTCCCTGTCACTGAAGCTTAGGCAGATCTCTGTACCTTTCTGAGCCTCAGTTTCCTTATCTGTAAAATGGGACTTGGAATAGAATAGTGATTGTCAAACTGTGTTCTGCAACACCCTGGGATTTTGTGAAGGGACCACTGCTTAAGGAGGGCAGTTTGTGGCTGGTGAGGGGAGGACTAGTAGGCAGGACTCTGAGTTCCCCTCCTCCCAGTTCAAACAAAGTCACTCCGCTCCAGCATCTGTTTTATGCATTGCTTTAAAAGAACAGTTGGTGGTTACCGGAGCGGAATGTGCGTGTGTGTGGGAGGGCGAAAGGGGTAAAGGGCAGATTTGTATGGTGATGGATGGTAACTAGACTTTTGGTGGTGAACATGATGTAGTCTATTCAGAAGTTGAAATATAATGATGTATACCTGAAAATTTATAGACCAATGTTACCTCAATTAAAAAAAAAGAATAATAATGATAAAAAAAGAAATAAAAAGAAAAAACAAAGAGGGCTCTATAGCTTAACAGGTTTGAAAACTCCTGGACGAGACGTCTTTGAGGACTTTTCCAGTTCTTCTGATGCGGGGTCGGTGAGCCAAGGAGTTGAAAGAAAGATTTCTTGGACTCTCAAGATCTGGCAGTAGTGCTCTTTTATTTAGAGAATAGTGTGGAATAGCATGGGGACAGGACCCATGGGCAGTCAGGCTGCTGCGTGGGGACAGGGCCCATGGGCAGGAGGAGCCACTGCTGCTGCCCTGAGTTGAGGGTTAGGGCTAATTTTATAAGGTACAGGTATGTGAGTCATCTCTTTACAAGACAAAGGAAAGAACATGAAAAAAAGTTAAAATGGTATCACTGCAGGTGGGGTCTGGTCATTGGGTGATCCCATGACTTTTAGACAAGAATCAAATTGAATTAAGTAAAGGTCAGAAGTTACCACCCTAAATCAGTTACATGAGATTGCCAGACAGCAACCAACTTAAGTTCTTGCCTTCTCCATTAAGAGTTTCTAGGGACAAGGTCATCTCTCTTCTTCTTCCTGGTACAGAGAGGGAGGCATCTTTTACAGATAGAGATTTACCTTACAAATGTAAATATGTCCCAACAAGGGCAAGTACCATTCCCCAGAGCCTCCCTCCCTGTTCCTGTTATGAAAAGCAATCAGCCCCAAACAATCCCGATGCCAAAGAGATATATCCTGGGGTGGCCAATTTCAGGTCCCTACAAGGTCATCCCCCCTTCCTTCACAAATGCAAATATCTCTCAAAGAGCAAGCAAATTCCAGTCCTCGGAGCCTGCTTCTCATCTGCAGTTTTAAAAGTAACCAGCCTAAAATCCTCATCACTTCTAGTTCATGATTTTATGGGTTACAGGAGAAAGAATAACTTTCACAATGATAAAACTATTTTGTGTTTGCTCTATGTCAGGCACTGTTCTGAGTACTTTACATATAATTATCTTATTTTTAAAAATCCCAGGGGCCAGCCTGGTGGCGCAGCAGTTAAGTGTGCACATTCCACTTCGGTGGCCCGGGGTTCGCTGGTTTGGATTCCGGGTGCAGACCTATGCACTGCTTGTTAAGCCATGTTGTGGTAGGTGTCCCACATAAAATAGAGGAAGATGGGCACGAATGTTCGCTCAGGGCCAGTCTTCCTTAGCAAAAAGAGGAGGATTGGCAGCAGATGTTAGCTCAAGGCTAATTTTCCTCAAAAAAAAAAAAAAAAAGAATCCTTACAGCAAGCCTATAATGTGGGGAATTAATTATCCTCATGTTGCAGGTAACAACCTGGGACTTGAGAGGTGAAGTAATTTGCTCAAGAGCAGACAGCTGTAAGTAGTGAAGAGGGGTGTGGACCCAAATTAATTAGAAGGGATGAACTGGCAGCCCACAGGCCAAACCCAGACTTAAGGTGTATGTGTTTCAGGCCAGCACAGTGGTTTTTTTTCTTTTTAATTTTGAATTAGTTGCCAGCACTTAAAAACAAGATGATTTCATACAAAATTTGAACTTAGAGCTTTTTTTCTTTTTAGACCCGGCAACTTGCAACACTGGGCCTGTGTATTCCCACGAGTAGTAGCTGCCTACTTTAGAAGGGGCATGAACTCCCAGCTTGCTACAGACCCCATTACTGCCTATTTTCTTATACCTGACCCACTTTGCTCATTTATGGTATCTGCCTGGCCCTGATTTTGCAACACCTGTTCTAATGACAAGCCAGTGTCTTCCTCAATGACTTCTTCCTACTTATATTCCTCTATCTCCATCTGCTCCTTCTCCAGGTCCTGCTGATTCTGCCCCACCACCTCTCCCTCATCTGCCACTTCTCTTCTTTCATTCACCTGCCTTCCTTATCCGCCTTCATTCTTTGCCTCTGTTGAAGATACCTGTTGGGTCCCTCTACTCTCCCCTTCCTCGAGTCCATCTTCCTAATCCTAGCTCCGGTAGCTCTACAAACATGATTGTCAAATCTCTGAAGAAGGATTCGCCCATTCAGGGTGAACTCAGAGGGAAGGATTAATTCCAGTGGTGGGAAGAGGAAGTGGCTGAATGCATGCTCTGGGGCTCAGACGGCCCTGGGTTCGAAGAATCCTGATTCCTAGACCTACCATCTGTGAGACAATGGCCATGTCACATTTCCTCATCCATGAAATGGAGACAAAAACAGAACCCAAAGTTGAGCCAGATTACTTTTAAAGCTTCTTCCAAACTTGACATTTTATCATTTTAAAGCAATCTCTGCTCAAATCCTTTCAATGATTCCCACCACCTACCAAGTTGAGTGTAGAAACCAGTTTCTCCAGATGCTAGCTCTAGCCTACCTTCTATATCTCATCTTTCTCAACTCAACTCATACCTTGCCCTGCAGAAACCCCTAGCTCTCACATTCCTGCCTTCATATCTGCTATTCCCTCTTTCTGGAATACCCTTCAGCATTCTATAAACAAACATTCCATAAAAATGTGAGGCATTAATATCTCTACCTGTTGAACCCTACTTATCTGTTTTCATTAGGAAATCTATTTTCAAGTTACAAAAACCCGAACTCAAACTACTCAAACTATAAAGATGTATTGGTTCATGGAAAAGTCCAGAGGTGGGGGCTGGCCCCGTGGCCGAGTGGTTAAGTTCGCGCGCTCCGCTGCAGGCGGCCCAGTGTTTCGTTGGTTCGAATCCTGGGCGCGGACATGGCACTGCTCATCAAACCACGCTGAGGCAGCGTCCCACATGCCACAACTAGAAGGACCCACAACAAAGAATATACAACTATGTACCAGGGGGCTTTGGGGAGAAAAAGGAAAAAATAAAATCTTTAAAAAAAAAAAAAAAAGAAAAAAAAGAAAAGTCCAGAGGTGGGTCAAGCTTCAGGTATGGCTTTATCAGGTCCCTGACTCTTTTTTTGGTTTGTTTTTTGTTTTTCGGTGAGGAGGATTGGCCCTGAGTGAACATCTGTTGCCAATCTTCCTCTTTTTGCTTGAGGAAGATTGTCCCTGAGCTAACACCTGTGCCCGTCTTCCTCTATTTTGCATGTGGGATGCTGCCACAGCATGGCTTGAAGAGCAGTGCATAGGTCTGTGCCCAGGACCTGAACCCACAAACCCCAGGCCACTGAAGCAGAGCACAAGAACTTAACCACTACACCTTGGGGCTGGCCCCCTCTGGCTCATTTTTTCTGTGATATTTTCTCAGTCTGACCCTTCTCCACGTGATGGTTTTGTTCTCTAGCTAGCTTCTGTCATGGTGGCTGTGATGGTTAACTTTATGTGTCAACTTGACTAAGCTAACATATGCCCAGATAGCTGGTATAACATTCCTGGGTGTGTCTGTGAGGGTGTTCCTGGAAGAGATTAGCATCTGAATTGGTAGACTAAGTAAAGAAGATCACCCTCACTAATGTGGGTGGGTATCATCCAATCTGTTGAAGCCTAAATAGAACAAAAAGGGGGGGGGGGGAGGGCAAATTTGCTCTCTTTGCTTGAGCCGAGACATCCATCTTCTCTTGCCCAGGATGTTGGACGTTGGTGCTCCTGGTTCTTGGGGTTTTGGACTTGGACTGAATTATACCACTGGCTTTCCTGGTTCTCTAGCTTGCAGACGGCAGTTGAGACTTGTAGGCTTCCATAACCGTGTGAGCCAATTCCTATAATAAATCTCTTCTTACATATTTCTATATATATATCCTATTGATTCTCCTTCTCTGGAGAACTGTGACTAATACAGTGGCTAAGAAAAAATTCTACTGAAACTCTAGGCACCATACCCTATACCACACTGTCCAGAAGGCAAAAGAACATCTGTCTCTTCCTCATTCTTCAGCTTTAATGGACCAACAACGGTAGGTCCTTAATAATTAGGAGGTAGGATGCTACAGTGATTCAGCATACAGGCTCTAAAGTTGGACTCCACCACTTACTAGCTGTGTGACCTTGGGAAAGTTAACCTCTGTGCCACAGTTTCCTCATCTGTATAATAGGGATTATAATACTACCTACCTCATAGGGCTGTTGTGGGAATTAAACAAGCTTGAAAAGTGCTTAGCAGAGTGCCTGGCAACTAGTAAACGCTCCACGTTAGCTAGTGTTGCCAATGTATTTCTTCAGAAACATCTCCCATCATGCTGTAATCTCCAGAGATTCTTCTGGACAACACAGTATTCCTAACATTTCTCTATTGAATTCATAGTCATTCATTCAACAAATATTAAATGAGAACCTACTGTTCTAGGTACTGAGGAATGAGCAAAACAGACAAAATCCTGTCTTTGTGGAGATGACACTGTAGTGGAAGGTGAGGATATGAGAGACAATAAACAAACAAACATAATATTTCTGGTGATGATAGGTGCTATGGAGAAAAATCCAGCAGGAAAGGGTGTGAGGAGGTGCAGAGGAGTAGGGTGTTGCAATGTGAAATGTGGGCCAAGGAAGGCCTCTCTGAGGAAGTAACATTTGAGCAGAGACCTGAAAGAGTGAGCCATGCCAATATTTGGGAGGAGAACATTTGGGGAAGACACAACAGCAAGTGCAAAGGCCCTGAGGCTGGCAGTGTGCTTGGCATATCAGAAGAGGAAGGAGATCAATGCGGCTGAAGCAGAGTGAGAGGAGGTGAGTGCAATACAGGGGATAAGGTCAGAAGGGTAGCAGGGGGCAGGTAACAAAGGATCTTATAGGCCATAACATAATCCTCAGCACCAGCAGGGAAGATATCTGTACAGGCAAGTTTTATAACCAAGGCCATGAGCAGGGAGGGGTGAGTGCCTCAACTTGCATGGTGGTGGGGCTGATGAGAGGTCAGAGAAGGCCTCTCAGAGAAGGTAGCTCCTGAGCTGAAGGATGAACAAGAGGCATCTAGGCAGAAGGAGAGGAGCAATCCAAGTAGGGAAAGTGCTATAGCAGAGGGTGCTGAGAAAGTGTGCTGTATTCCCGCAAACATGGTAAGACTGGTACTCAGAGAGGGACGTCAGGAGCCAGGGAGTGGCCAAAAACACAGCAGAGGTTGGTGGAGACCAGATTCATTAACTGGTTGATTGATTGATTCATTCACTCAAGTGTTTATTGAACACCAGTTCTATGCCAGACATTGCACTAGGTCTGGTAACACAGTGATGGACACAACAGCCAAAGATTCCTGGTCTCACAGAACTTCCCTTCTACTGGAGGAGACAGACCAACACACACAAACGGGCAAATAAATGACAAGACTATAAATGCCATGAAGGAAATGAACAAGAGGCCAAACTAGAGGACATCTTTAGGTGGAGTGTTCAGGGAAGGCCTCTCTGAGAAAGTGATATTTAAGCAGAGATCTGAGGTCTAAGAAGGAACCAGAAGTTAGAAGAGGTGGAGAAACAACATTCCCGGCCTTCGTCTCAGTGTCACCCTCTCTCTAATTTGATTTCTCTTCCTTTTGAAGAGAGACACGAGGTCATCCAACAACACGAGGGCACCAAACAACACGAACGGAGCTATAACGGCCGGTCTGGCGGAGTCAGGATTCAATTCAAACTCTGCTCCGTTCTCGGCAATCCTGTCTCTTAGGCAGGTTCTGGGGGAAGCGACGTGAAAAATACAGTCACGAAATCACCGGTTGGACGACGCATGGAGAATTTGCCTGGACAGTTCCCAGCCTTCATGGAAGTCTATCGCGGAAGACTGAAGGGCTCTCAGAAGACCCCTCCGGCTGTTCCGTGGAGGTTGGAACACTGATTTAGGTTATATTTTCCGACAGGAGAAATATTCAGGAGGGAGGACCGCCACCCCCATCAAGTTATAAAACATTTCCTGCACCCGAGAACGGTAACGGTACTTGATTTTAATTTTCCTTTTTTTTTTAAGTGGGAGTCGCACCTCTTCGCCAGACCCACCCTAACGGCAGTCCCTCCGCCCAGTCCCAGCCTAGGCAGCGAAGAGCGATCCTCGTCCAGGCCACGCGCCTGGTTCCTTGAAAGCGAAAGGACCCGACGCTCCTTCCTACTTCGTCTCTTCCACGTCTCTCTGGCACCGCCCCCCCGGCAACCTGTTTGGGCCCCATCTCCAGGCCCCGCCCACCTCCAGCACCACGCCGCGATCCTCTTTGGGGTCACGCCTCCTTCCGGCTCCTCCCCAGAATGGCCACCTTTGGGCCCCCTCCTCCCTGCTCGGCTTCCGGGCCCGCCTCACTCGGTCCCGCCGCAATCTTTCCTCCCTCCGGGGCTTCTCTTCAGCCTGGCCTCCAGCTCCCTCCACTAAGGGTCCCGCCTTCTCCAGCCTCGCCCAGGCCTCCCTCCACCCTTGACTCCTCCTCCGGGGACGGCCTCCCTCCGGCCCCGCCCACAGTCGCTCCTTTCAAGCCCTGCCCGGGCTCTTGGCTCCGGGAGGCTTCCACGGTCGTCCATACCTGTCTCACGCTCCTCTCTTCTCCGGTCTCCTCACCCTCTCAGCCCCGCCCCGCCTCCCGCTCCATACTGGTGTCAGCGGGTCTCTCCTCTCGCCCTCAGTCCCTCCTCCCCGTCAGGCCCCGCCCCGGCCGAAGCTCTGGACTTTTCCAAAGCCAGGTTGAGGGGTGGGGAGAGCCCTTGCGCCTGGAGAGCGGGCTGTGTCAGGGCGGGGCTGTGGACTGCTCGCGCTTGTGTGTCCCCGTGTCCTTCCCCGGAGACAGAGCGGGGCAGGGAGGGCCCGGGGCCAGGGCTGGGGAGGTGGGCGGAGCCGAGCTGAGGGAAGCCGCTCCGGGGCCCCCTCCCCCGCGCGCCTCGGTGGTGCCGGCCGAGGGAAGGACTCGCGGCTGCGGGGCGCGCGCGGCTGTCAGTGCGGTGGGGCGCGCGAGCGGCGCGAGCGCAGGGCGGGCGGAGCTGAGGGGGCGGTAGCGGCTGCGGCGGCGACTCCCGTGCGTGTGCTCAGCTCCTCACGCCGCGGCCGGGGCCGCCTTTTTCCTCCCTCCCTTCCGCCCCCGAGTGCGGCGGCACCGCCTCCTTTCGCGGCGCGCGGCTTCCTCCACACCTCTCGGCGCGGGTGAGTGGGGGCCGCGGGCGTCTCCCTAGGGGTGCGGGGGGGGGTGTTCCTTGTTCCTTTCCGGTCGCCCACCTTTTCGCGCGGGCCGCTGCCTATTTTTAGAAACTCTTTTCTCGGCCATTCTGGAAGTCCCAGGAGCCCGAGTAACTCCCAGGCCCCTTCCTCAGCACCTGCCCCCCACCCGAGCCCGCCGCCCTGGGGCGCCGACCCGGCCCATCCGCGCCCGCTCCCGGCCGCCCTGGCCTTCCCTGCCCGCCTCCTCCCCGCGGGCCCGGCCTGGGCCAGGAGTTGGCGGGGTGGGCCGGCGCCCGCTCGGAAGTTGGAGTCTTTTGTGCTCGCGCCCCGCCCCGCCCGCCGGAGGGAGGAGGGAGGGGAGCGGAGGCCGCGCCAGGGAGGCCTCGGGCGGCCCCGACTCTGGCTCTGGCCCGGTCCCCGGGCTTCTTCCGGCTCTGCCTGGCGGGCTGGGTCTGCAGGCTCCCCGGGGCGCGCAAAACTGGTCCTGCCTCGCTCCCCAGGGGCCTGAGCGCCTCCTCGGCCCCCGCCTTTGCCGGTCCTGGGCTCCTTGCACACCTTGGGCTCGGAGAGGAACAACAACAGGCCCTCGAGCCGGGGTGGGTGCCGCGCTTCACGCAGCCCCCTTCGCGCCGAGCCTCAATTTGCTCCTCTGTGAAAGGGGAGGAAAAGTCGCCTTGCAGGGTGTTTGTGGATTCATAGGGGTAACAAATAATGAGAGAGAAGCGTTTAATACCAACAGGTAACGTTGAATGGACTTAGGAACTTTGTAAGCCTTGTTTTTCGTTTAATGCTCACCACGGCCTTCTGGGGTTATCCCACTTACAAAAGCAGAAGTCTAGGCGCAGAGAGATTAAATAATTTGCACAGAAGTGTAAAGCTGTGGTGCTAGTCCCTGTTATTTCTTTCTTAGTATGAGCTTGTATGATCTCTTAGTGCAGAGGAGGTTTTCACTTGCCCTTGGGTGACACCGTTAGAGACATAACTCCGTTCTGCCTGACTGCTGGATCAGTGTCCACTGTACTATGGATGAAGGCTACGGGAGGTCCGAGGGAAAGGAAGTTACTATGAATTTCTTGCTAGTATTGCCCGTTGTAAGTTGATGGATGCAGGGGACTCCAGCTAGATCTCAAGCCCAACTAAGTTCCCTGGGGTTTTGGCTAACGAAGGCTTAAGTCAGTATCAACAGTGAGGTCCCGTCCTTTATTTTGTTTATGGGAAGTTCCTCCCTCCAAATCTTGCATATTCTCTATAGTATTTAGATTTATAGTTCCTTGTTGGGGGAGGGGGAGCAGGAAGTGGCTCAAGTCAACTGCTTCAACTCCCTGCCTTCAAATAGGGTTTTATTTCTTCTATTTTCAAATAAGGCCCAGAGGGCTGAAAGTGAACTAAAATTAACTTTGGCAAGAGTTCTAGTTTTCCAGTATGTTTGATCCCCGGTGTGAGGAGTGTCTGAAAATCAGACAGGGGAGTTCCTAAGCCAGGTCTTGAGGAATCTCCTGAAGTTTGCATTGGTTTTTTGGAGTTTGGAGATCTGCTGTGCTTTCCCCTTTTCAAGATTCTGGATTCAGGAGTTGTGGTATGTAGGAGCTGGAAGGGGTCTTACAGACCATGCGGTCCAACTTTTTTTAATCTCTTTTTTTCCCTTTCCCTGTTAACTGAACCTTGAATGGGGGAGTTGTCTAAATTCACAGACTGCCTTAGTGTCAGAATCAGAACTAGAATTCCCAGTCTTCTGCCTCCCAGTGCAGTCATATTTTTATTTCTACCATACCTTGCCACCTTTTGAATGGGTACTATATTAACTTATTCATGCCTTAAGACCAGGAATCCTGGGTAAATTGAAATCTCAAGGAAGTTGTTTAGTTCCAGCCACTCTCCACGCCTCAGGTTTATCATTAAAAGGAGGCCAAGTTTTGTGCACAGGTGTACCAGTTCTCATAAGTCATCACTTTTACTATATAGTACTTTATGGTTTATAGTACTCTTCTGTAACCATTATCTGATTTCATTTCTAACACTTCCATGAGGGAGTTCACAGAGTTTTGTTTATATTTCCTTTTTACAACTCTAATTGAGAATTGAGACACAGCAAGGTTAGGGCACTTGCATTACATAGATCACTGAATTAACAAGTGGGGAGGACTGGACACCTCTCATGGGCAGAGGATTTGGTGTGGCATGAACTGAGCCACTCATTGCGGCTCTCTGAGTCTGTTTCCTTATCTGTAAACTCCCACAGGGTTGTGTGGGGACTATGAGAAATGTCTGAAAGTGCATTGTAGAGGTTGTAGCAGTAGGAATAATAGCTAACATTTATTAAGTACTTACCATGTACCAGTCACTGGACTAAGGAATTTCTGTGGAGTATCTCATTTAATCCTCAGCAACTGTATGAATTAGGTACTATTATTATCCCTGTTGTTCAGAAGAAGAAACAGGCTTAGAGAGGTTACATGACTTGCTCAGGGTCAAGTAATTGATGAGACAATATAACTTTAAAGCTGGTGTGCTTTTTTAGTAAAAATATACATAAGATAAAATTTACCTTTTTAACCATTTTTAGATGTACAGTTCTGTAGCATTAAGTACATTTACATTGTTCTGCAGGTGTCACCACTATCCGTGTCTAGAACTTTTCATCTTATCCAGCTGAAGCTCTATACCCATTAAACACTAATTCCCTATTCCCCTCTCCTCCCAGACCCTGGCAACCACCATTCTATTTCTGTCGCTGAATTTGACCATTCTAGGTACTTCCTTTAAGTGGAATCATATAGTATTTGTCCTCTTTTGACTGTCAAAGCTGGCACTATTAGGGCTTCCCTTAACCTCTGGGTGCTCTGTAAATGCAAAATGATTATTAGTCCTCATCTGCAGTAGGGTGTGGCATGCAGCCCAGAGCAGGAACTCAGGCCTGGTTGTACTTCTGATTAAGCTTTCTCTTCCTTTCCCCCCACTCTGTGGATTGAAGTTCCTTATCACTGAAGCCTTTTTTGGAGATCTCTATTCACTCCTTCTGTAGCTTCCAAAGAGACCTCCTACCCTTGAAGTGGACCCCAGGGGACTTTCCACCCTTGCCTTATTTGCACCTGCCTTTCTTACTATCCGCGGTTTGGGCCTATAGGGTTGCAGTGATCAAGAATAGCAGTGCTATGACAGCAGCTTGGATCAGAACTACTCAGGACGATTAAATGGATTACCTTTATGAAATGCTCCCTCTCTGTGCCCTCTTTCCATAAAGGCACACAAGAGGGATTAGCTTTTGGGTTCCTAGAGGGTGTTTACAGATCCTCATTGCTTGCAGGTGGTTAAGATGGAGTTAAATGCTGCAGTTAGCTTTTGAAAATTCCCTTTGGTTTGACTGTTTCCTTATCTATGTATATTTTGGGGGCCTGGGTGGGATGTGGTGTTTATGTTTGTGAATGGTAATTGGAATTTTGTCCTGATACCAATAAGGGGTTGGGGTGGGAGGTGTTCCAGATATGGCTAATAAAGCAACAAGCACAGATGTGAGCATGTTGCACTTTCTTTAAAAATCTGATGGCCCAACATTGCCTGCATGTTAAAGTCCAGACTGCTAAGTGTGATAATGAGGTCAGAGTGTGTTGAATTGTTTATTGGATAGAAACTTGTAGTTGAGGGGCTTTAAAGTCGTTTAGATCAACCAGCCAGCCACCTGACCACCGTTTGAATTGGCTACCTGTTGAGATACTGTTTCACTGGGCATCTCATTATTGGAAAGTTTTCCATTCACTGAGCAATTATTAAGCATCTGCCACACACAGTACTAAGCTTGGGAATTTGGGTGTATACAGCCTAGTTGGGAAGACAGGCAAGGAAACAGGCAGTGTGAGAAGTGTTGTGACAGGGACAAGCACCGTGAGAGCACAGAGGAATCATAACTAACCCAGCCTTGGAGGGTCAGGGAAGCCTTTCTTGGAGAAGTTGCCTATTCCTAGACATCAAGAAAAAAATTGACAGAAGCCAGCAAAAGAAGAGATTTGGGCTGTCACAGCGGAGACAGAGATAACACTGTTCTAGGCAGAAGGAATAGCAAGTCTCGATATGGTGGTCGTAATCAGTGAGACTCTTAGCCATATATTATATCTATCAGGTACTATTCTAAGCATTTAGTGTGTGCTAACTCGTTTCTTCCCATAACTACCCTGAGAGGTATGTACTATTATTCCTGTTCTGTAGGTGAGGAAACAGACCCAGGGGGTTAAATAAAAGATTTGTGGATGGAGCATAAGACATGAATGGGTGGATGTGGCAAGGTAGACAGAGTAAAGGCCGAGTCATGAAATGTCCTTGTCCAGCTTGAGGAGTTTGGACTTCATTTCGAGGTGAGGGGGCCATGATCCTGTGTGTATTTTAGAAGGTATGTCTGGCTACCTGTTTGGGGAGTGGATTGGTGGGCTAGAGCATCGTAGGCAAAGAGACCAGTTGGGAGGCTGTTGCAGTAATGCAGGCAAGAGGTAATGGTGTTTCAAATGAAGGTAGTGGGCGTGTGTGTGTGTGTGTGTGTGTGTAGAAAGGAGATGGAATTGAGCGATGAGACACAGTCTCATCTAGTATGGAGGGTAAGGAAGAAATCAAGGATGATTTCTACCTGGTGCAGTTGTATGGATGGGGATGCCTTTTTTTTTTTTAATTTTATTTTTTCCTTTTTCTCCCCAAAGCCCCCTGGTACATAGTTGTATATTCTTAGTTGTGGGTCCTTCTAGTTGTGGCACGTGGGATGCCGCCTCAGCATGGCTTGATGAGTGGTGCCATGTCCTTGCCCAGGATTCAAACTGGTGAAACACTGGGCCGCCGCAGCGGAGTGCCTTAACTTAACCACTTGGCCACAGGGCTGGCCCTGGGGGTGCCTTTTATTGAGGTGAGGACACAGACGAGCACATAAGAGAGGGGGGAGGATTTCTCATGCAGGGTCTTCTTACGTCTGCTTTCATTTTCCTTCTTGTAATTATTGATCCTAGTCCTCTGTCGGGAGGGCCAGAGGAACTGGGATGAGGGAAAGCATGGCACAACAGATCTAGTAACTATCCCTGGTTAAAACAGATGATGTAAATACTAGTTTTGGAAAGGAGGAGATATTAGATCTTAGACATCCAGGCCCTGCACAACTGTGAAGACTGCTTATGTTAAGCCACTTACTTATTCTCCAGATAACGTCCTTTGACACTGCTCTGTATGCTAGTGTGTCTCTCTCTAAGTCACTTCTGCTTACTCTCTACTCCACTGGGGAAACAAAGATGAGTGAAACATAGCTTGAGGAGCTTGCATCCAGAAGGGCAGCAGATCTCAGTAGCTTAGATATGGTGCTGGAGGGAGAGGGTGAGCAGGTCAAGGTGGGACAGGCTGGGGAGGGTCCAGGAGAGATTTTTATTAGGGACAGGAGTCAGGAGATACTGCTCTCTGCTCCAGTCTTTTCATCAGGTGGTAAAGGTCCATCCAGGCTTATTCAAAGGTTTAGGTTTATTCATCTGAGTAATGATGGAAAATAATGACTGGATGACCCCAAGGATCTCTTCTAGCAATAACATTTTATGATTCTAGATGATGATTTAGATAATATACCTCTTGGAGAGGTACTTTCTTTCTTCCTTTCTATCTCCATCCCTCCCTCCATCTCCCCCTTCTTTCTTCATTAGGCAGTGGGTAGGGGGGTAAGAGTGGAGATAGAAGAGTTTTCATATGAGTGTCTATAAAAACCTAATTTTATTCCATTTTAGT